CTGGCCGCCGCTGCGCCGGGGAGGTCAGGGGGTGGATCAGGGGGTCGCCGGGGGCGGTGCCGAGGCCGGACGTCGGCTGCGTCGCACGCGGCGCCTCTAATTTCGTGCGCTGTGACGTCCGCTGGCCCGTGTAACGCAGTGATGGCGGGCGTCACTTGACGCAGTGACACGGGTGGCACGTCACGCCCCCTCACCGGTGGGACTGTGTTACGTGAATTGTGTAATACACACTCAATGGAAATGCCGTGCCATCCCGGAATGGTGCGGGTCTTCTATGCCAGATGGGCTATGAACGCGAGGGGGCGTTCCTCGAATTGGCTTTGTTATGTTAGCATGGGGGAGGCGGGGGGGGGGGGGAGGATGGAGGTCGTGTTGGACCCATGCGTATTGCGCATTATGATTGGAATGCTGACTGTTGAGGGATGCTGAAGTGACTCCTGAAAGTCTTGTACTCGTGGCATACTATGATATCTGATAAGGTCTAATCAATGATAATAGTTGCTGTCTGCTTGCAAGACTAAGCTCAAACACTCAAACGCATGCCTTGTTTTAACTATCTGCAAGTGCTTAACATTTGCCACTTGCCAGTCCACTCAATAACAAGTAAATTCCCGTGATGACTACGCCTCCTTATTACGCAGCGAAGCTGGCTGTCGTGACGGGGTCTGGCTGGGATTTCCGGGATTGGTGACGTAAAAATATCAAACATGCCCCATAAGGGCATCCTAATTCGTGAACTCGTCCTGTGTCGGTCAGGAGCATTGCATAACGTTCTCGTGTTGGTGTACACGGCTTTTCTGTCCGCGTGATATGGCACGGCCAGGCGATCAGTGTTTGAAAGTGGTCGTTAGTGGTCCACTCAAGGTCGCGCAGACCGTCGGACTAACGGTCAGTGTGTCGTCTCCTGCGCTGCTACCGTTTTCGTTGTGGCAGTTCTGCAGTGTTTGTCATCATCGCTGCAACAGCTCGACTCTCAACGGTCGTTCTTTCACCCATCACTGCAGTAGAGTGTCAAATCGTCTAAGTAATCAAATATCAACGGTTTCAGACCGTCCAAGTAGTGAATGGTCTCGAACCGTGGAAGTAGTCTCAGACCGTCCACCTCGAGTCCTCAGCACTACTCTCAATGCGCCGCAGTGGCATGCTGATGCGCGCCTACCTATTGACGTCACGGCCATTGTGACGTGCCACCTGTTGCTGGGCCGTCAGCTGAGTGTCTCTGTCAGCTGACGGTGCTCTCCTGTGCCTAGGTTGGCGCCACGGTGCACGTATAATGTGGGTTCTTTATATACCGGGGTGGGCCTGCTCACAGTTCCATTCGAGTATGCAGCGAGGTGTTGACGTGCGGTGTTGCGAAATCTCTGTGGTGTTATGCCCCAGGTGGCGCCTGCATTTGCGTTGGTCAGGTTGCGTTTGAGCTCTGCGAGCTAGAGACTGCGTGTAATGCTATGCATCGTGATGCAATATTTCCCAATAACCAGATTCGAGCATCATAACATGTGAGTACTGACTGAGTACCAAACCACTGAGTCGAAATGACCGAAATTGCCTCCAGGATACAGTATACGCTCTGGCGTGTCACCATCATTGTTGAGTTTGTAAATATTTTCAGTGGCTTCTTTTTCATAACTGTGGCGTCGCAATTCATGGAACATGACGTGCATCCAAGGGTAGCCAATTGTTATGACAATTGAGAATGCCCTTCGCGATGCCTATTTTCGTTGTAGACGAGATTGAGGAACTTTCCACTGTCGTAATCTGTCCATAAGTGGCGATATGTTGCTAGCGACGGTCGGTATTTGTTACTTTAGTGTTGCCGTCGCCTGACATGACACGTCGTCGGTGCCCGCTATCTTGGCCCTCTGATCTACTACGATAACCCGCGGCTAAGCCCGGGCCATCCCGAGAGGACCGGAGCTGGCGCGCGGCGCCGCTGCGCAGTTTGATAACCGGCGTGTTCCTCCCCTCCCCCCCGCCCCCGCCCCTGGCACTGACTTGTGCCGACCGGGGTCGTCATTGACGGCTTCACTGGCGTCACGGTCAGCTCATGTGTCCGCCCACCGGATGGGAGATCCGCCCCCGCCCCCGCCCCCGCCCCCGTCCGCCGCCGCCCCCGCCCGTCCCTGTCCTTTGTGCCGCGTGGTACCGCCGGTTTGGGCCACCCGGTGCCTGGGTACAGCGAGATAGGTACCAACTTCCAGGCTTGCTGGACGGTAGCGTCGCCTGTGTACGACGTATTCACACCACACTGTGTTCACACCGACAGCATAACACACACGGCGGGTCCACAGTCCGGTGCGCTGCCCCGTCCGGCCACGCAGAGTGCTCGTGATGGTCTGACCCGGTGCTCGGCCGTGTGTAATGTATCCTGTCACAACACTAGCTCATCACAGATAGGACTGGTGGAGCCGTGCAGATCGCACCCGTCTCAGGCCGTGGATGGTACGGCCGACGGGCGTGGTCGCTGCGGGATAAACATTAAACAGAGGAGTTGAGGTCGTGGTCGCTTGTCGGTCAGAACTGTCAGAGCAGTGGGGAGGGGAGGGGAAATGTCACCGCGGGGTGAGCGTTCGACCCGTCTGCGGCGTAGTGGGGAGGGGAAATTTTGGCGCGACTCGCAGAGATGGCTGGCAAGCTGCTTTGAATGCAGAAGTTGTGGAAAATTCGGGTAGCGCCTGGATATTTGTGGCGGAAGTTGCACTTGGCACTTTCTCAGTGGGTCAGTGCGGCATCTGCTGTTATATTGTTTTCCAAAATGCCGGCACTCGAGTTTAAATCTCGCGACACTGAGCACTGTTGGGAAGATGCGGCCATTCCCAGTGGTATCAGCAGTGCGCAATGTGCAACTGTTTGCACAGTTGATAGCTCTGTGAGTCACAGCACCTGTTGATGCCACTATCAGCGGTGGCCTCGGTGGATCGGGGGACGGTAGGAAGGACGCGCCACTCGTCGGCAGCGAAAGGCTGCATCTGGGTTGTCGTTTTATTAGGGATTCGTAAAAGGATTTAGGGGATGCATTGCATGGTAAATAACACGTTTCCAATGTCTATCGCCCACTGCGCACATTATTGTAATGCTATATGATTGCTGTTGTGCCTGAAAGGCTTAGTTGAACGTCCGGATACTAGTTACCCGAGCTGAGGAGTTCACAGTTTAAACTTTGCATAACACTGCGTTACACTGAATTTGAACCCTGAACGTCGCTTGGAGCGTAAATGAAAATTAACTTGTTTTGGAACTTTTGAATAAGATTCCTCGGTGTCTATTTAGTAGTTAATTTTATCATCGATTTCACATAACAGAATGCCGTCTCGGGCACCGAGATTGCTAAATGCCATCTTCCCGCATGCAAGGTACCCAGGGTGTGAATCACCCCTCTGCGTAACGCGCTGCTATCAGTACACAGGTAACTCCTGATCCCGCTCTTAACATTTTCCCGTTAAGTGGGCATATGATAAACCACGCTCATTCGCTATCATCGTTCCATGAGGAGCGTTGTTGTGAGATGGTGGTATGTCTTGCTTCCTCAGTGTCAGACACAGTACCCACGCCTGACCATATCCTCCTCACCCGTGAGGCCTCTTCCTGCTTCCTGACAGCCGCGCGTCATCGAGAATTCCCAGCGTGATTGTTTACCGCACAGTGTATATAAATAGTTTACCGATTCTGCATATCGACCCTATGACGCGTGTGACGAGTGTTGCGCCCCGCGCGGGCAGGCCCGGAGCCAGCCGTGCTAGCCTGTGACGGGTTCGTGTATCCAAACCAGCGTCTGCTGGATGTTCAGAAGCTGGTTCCACGAATGGGATGTAGTTCGGTGACGTCGGTACAAGTTGGATTCTCTCCCCCGGGGAGGCTCGCTGCTGCCTGCTAGTGCTGACACTGACGGTTAGGCCCGGAGCGGTTTGTGTTTAGGGTGTGACGAACAGTTTTTGTTCAAAGGAAGCGCGGCTCTTGTTGGCGCTGGCTCGGCGCGTTCAAGGACGCGGACGGGAGTTCGTTGTGAGGTAGACGCCATATGGTGTCGCTGAAAGGCTCGAATGGACTCTAATCATAGTGACTAAGCAGCTTCACAGTAGATCCACCTTTAGAGGGACGTTTAGGTCATCATAGCACTTGGCAACAAAGATGTGACATGGCATGCATTTGTACTAACTACTAAGTTATTCCAGTCAGTTGGATGACTTCAAGTTTTGTTTCACCTTCACTTTGATCTCAAGATCAAAGTCTGAAATGCATCACCCCTTGATCATACATTACCTCCGGGTTCTGTAGAATGTTCTGAACTGAGCGTAGTTATGAAGATTTCGTGCGCCAATGGCAGTAAACCAGACGTGCCTTGTGGCGAATGCCTATGGCAATCACTACTTTGTTGCTACTCGAGGAACTGAGTATTTGACATGTCTGTTGCCGGGCTGTGTCCGCTTCGAGTGCGGTGGGCTCGTGCTGATGGGAGAGCTGCCAAAGTTCAATATGAGATGTGGATTCGTCTACAGCTCGGTTCGATAATGGAAACTTATTTTCGTCTTCTTTTTTTAATGCTGGACACGACGAATGATCGTTTATGCGTGGTTTCGCGCATTATGCTATAGCCGTGGAAACAGTGTCCTAGTTGCAGCAGGAAAATTAATGCATACTTTCCCTGGAGATACCATACCAGAGCCGCAACATGTCCGGTCCGTGTTTCGTGAGTGGTGTGCTGGGCGCGCCCATTGTTCTGAGCTTGGTCAGTGCCCTGTGTGCGGCCGTGTCCCCTATATTTACCGGGGTATGACTTGCTTGTTTGCACTTGCAGCGACACATTTTTCATTCTGTCATGGTAAATGGTTGGTGCCTCGTTGAGGCTATCTTGTGTGGATTTCAGGTGTATGGAGAGCTGCGGTGCACTGTACTGTTGCAAATGCTTCACCAGCACTCAGTCATTCCGCCGTGTCTGAAGCTCTGCCTCCCGTCTCTCCCAGCCTTTGTTCTCGGTCTGACCCTCTCTCTCCTCGCCGCAGGCGGTCGGTGCTGGACGCGGTGGGTCCACGGGCGGCCCCGGCCCGTCCCGCCCGCGGCCCCGCCCCCGCTCAGCCGCCGGCGCCGCGCCGCGCCGGTGTCCGGCCGCCGCCCAAGAAGAAGCCACCGCCCCGGCCGCCCCCGCCCAAATTCCAGGTAAGCGGATATCGAGCTGCAGTCATGTAACGGAGGGGAGCGGACGGTTCAATACGCCGGGCTTGTCGCCCGGACGGTCAATGGAGACGTCTGGGGCGCTGGGCACGGATTGGTTCCGGTATGGGATTGGGTTCGAGAAGCGGTGGCTCTAGGTCGGCACACCGGACTAGGTTGACCTCTGTGACCTGGGGTTAGCGGCACGTAACACTGCGGTGGCGGTGGTGGTGAGCCGCTGCTCTGTGTTTATGGCACCGGTACCGGTATCAGGCTAGTTGTAAGGAAGCTTACAGCCAGGCTCACTGACAACGTGACTTGTTTGGTGTACGCCGGGTTCCGTGAACTGTCGTCACGGTTTGTCCCGTGTCGTGTCCCATCCGACACGATCCAGCTCCGTGAATGCAGCACGAAACAGGCGCCGTGGCCGGCCGTAGGAAGCCCGTGATTTGCGTCACTTAGCGCTAATAATAGAGACGAGTTTGGCACGTTTCCCGCGGGGTAGCCGGGCATGGGGGAGGGACGTTGCATGGCCCGCCTCAGGGCAGGCCTGTCAGTCGTCACTCGGCCCTGGTGCACATGGACCGTGTTGCTGACGAGTTGGAATCTCTGCCAGTCATCATGTTGTAACGGTTGGAGCGGTGATCGCATCTATCACCAGATGCTGTAGAAGCTCAGTACCAATAACAGAACTCTAGGTACGGGGCATACGAGCCTGGTAGACATCGTAGCCTGGTACGGCTCTAACGGAGTCTTCCGTTCCCTCGAGTTCTTTGAATGTAGCGACACCGTTGCACGGCCTCACAGGAAAGGAAAGGATTTGTGGTCGTGTCGCGTGGTGCATCCATGGCAGTACTGAATTGGCGTGCGTGAATTGATTCGTTTTAAACTTTTGTAGCAAGCTTATGCCATTGTTCTATAATGTAACATTTTGAGCGACCGCGCGTGGCTTAGACCTCATTTGCAAGGCGAACGCACAAGGCGTGTCCTCCAACGAAATGTCACATTGTTTGTGCGTTATCTCATATCTGGCCCGACAGCTGTGACAGCTGCACAAAGTTTGGTGTAAGCTTCACGCAATACTGCTTTTGTTGCCAACTGCCGTTGTTTTATCAGTCTTAGCACAAGTTCAGTGTAGAAAAAGATAGATTTGTTGCATAAATTTGTATTAATGACAAATGACTTTGAGGGATCTGAAATTGGGCTGCCACTTGTCGTTCATACTCATGTCTTTGCTTTGTTTTTGTTCGTGTCCCGTCTACACTCTGATATGGGTTGTCATCACCTTTGACTGTCCCGCTGTCGGCTCCGTTCCCCACACTGTCTTTGCTTTGTTTTTGTTTGTGTCCCGTCTACACTCGGATATGGATGGTCACCACCTCTGACTGCCCCGCTGCCGGCTCCGTTCCCCACACCGATGACCTCCCGAGTCACGACTGACCCCTGTGTCTCCTTCCGTCCACAGGAGTTCAGTCGGCGCGACACTCCGCCCACCTACGAACAGGTGCTGCGAGAGGACGCGGCCGTACTAGCCGGCTTCGGGTTCGGCGGCGAGCGTAACACCGCTCCCTCGGCGCCACCCCTCGGTGGTGACCTCATCGACTTCGACGCGCCGGCGCCGGCGGCTCCCGTGCCGGCTGTACCGCTCACCTGGGACTCACCTCCGCCGGCCCGGCGCGTCGCCCCGTCCCCCGCCCCGGCTCCAGCCCCGGCGGCGGCGGCCGCTCCACTGCCCGCCGTCACCGTGATCAGACCGGCCAAGAGCTCAACGCGCCGGGTGCGCCCCAGCTCCACGCCCCCGACCCCGGCACCGTCTGACGAGAGGGATGCGTCGCCGCCGATGCCATCGTGTCCGCCGCCGCCGCCACCGACCATTGGATGGATGTCGGCGACCCCGGCCGTAAAGCCGCCCCCGCCGCCGCCGCGGCCCGGATCCAGCGCGGTACGTGCTGCTAGGGAAGTGGAGATTCACGTCATTTAGACAAAGTGGCTAGGAATGTCGATACTCAACCGGATTTCAAATGATGAAGGGCCAAAGTTAAAACAAGTGAAGTGTTTTGAGTGTATTATAAAGACTTGCATCTGTATAGGGGAGCTAAACCGGTCACGTCGCCCGTTTCGTTTCATCATTCACAACCTTCGAGGGTTCATGGATAGGATTTGCCTCGTTTTGTGGCTGATACTCAAACCGTGGCCATTATCACTTCTCCCCACCCCTGCCCTTTTCATTCTGACCCTCCCGTTCTCCGTTCCCAGTCTGCCACGGAGCCGGCTCGGGCGGTGGCCCTGTACGACTTCCAGTCGAGCGAGGCGGGTGACCTCAGCTTCCACGTGAGTTGGGCAGAGTGACGCGGGCAATCATCGGGTCAACACGCGGTGATGTTATTACGCTCTGTCGCCCTCGTGTTTGTGAAGCGATTGAAGGGTGTGGGTTGGCTGCCTTGATCGATCCAGCCATGGTCAATGTTTGAAATTAATTTCTATTTCTGGACTTGTCACGCCAATTTACCGAACGACTTCGCACTCATCGTTGCCGGCAAAGGGAGCATTCTTTTCTGCCGGCATCGACGACATACCATGTATCATTATATAATGTATGTGACCTCTGCAGGTTGTCATGACACTGTGCGACCTCCATTCTGTTTAGTTTCCGTGTTATAACTTTGCTCTACCATGTCTCTGTGTTCATCTAACCCCGCATCTCCACTGCCCCCAGGCCGACGATACGATCCATCTGGTGGAGCGTGTGAACGCCGAGTGGCTGCGCGGCCGGTGCGGCTCGCGACAGGGCATCTTCCCCGAGGCGTACGTGCAGATTCTGGTCCCACTGCTGGGGGAGCCGGAGCCGGAGCCGCAGGCCGCGCCGGAGCCGGGACACGGAGAGGGCGCCCTGGTGCTGTACGACTTCAGTCCGCAGGAGGCCTCCGATCTGGCACTCACGGTGAGTTGAGGGGCTGTTGGTTCCGGGTCCTTCTGTGAAGGCGGGAGTTGTCAGTTGGTCCATTCCGTCGGACCGAGAAAGGTAGCCTTGTTGGTGGATCAAGTTTTAGCGGGTTTTCAATGGTACGAGCCATTAATAACGGGTGGTTCAATGGTATTTAACTTCTTTCGCCGGTAAAGGCGGAAGAATGGTGGGTCAGTTTAAAGTATTAGGTACTGTATAAGTGGGGTATAAGTGGCCCGGAAGTATAAAATGCAGTTAAACGGTTGTGTCGCTTGTGTCGCTAGTTTTGCTCCTACAGCTGGTTTTCGCTCACCTGCAATAGCGACTTCCGCCACCCGAATGAACGTTAATCTCCCGATGAGGCCCACCCTTCATATGCACATTCTGCACACCTGTGTCCCTGAGAGCTCCCACACCCGACCAGTGCCGCTCCCCACTGACCTTTCGTCCGTCTCTGTCCCCACAGGCCGGTGAGCGGGTGCAGGTCCAGGGTCGGTTAAACGACGAGTGGGGCTACGGCACCGTGGCCGGCCGCAGCGGTCAGTTTCCACTGGCCTTTGTGGATGTACAGCCAGATCAACTGCCCCTGTTGTGATGGGACTGGGCGGGATTGGTGTGAAACGCTCGGCTTCGTGTGAATTATGGATCTAGTAAAGCGGCGGGGCCTGTATCGTGTGGTGTGAGTGTGAATGGATGGATCCTGTGAGACTGCGAAACCGCTCGTACTGAGCGTGAGGTTGTTTTTGTGAAGAACGCATCGTTTTTGGGATGTTTGCATTGGGAGGTGAAAAATTAATATGTTGTTGGACTGGATTGTTGAACTGGATCGTTAGACGGTGCACCACTATGTGGTGTCCGTCCAGGGAGGATCGAGGGGCCTGCTTTGCAGTCGTCGCTGTGATCAAAGGTCGCAGTGGTTATGGTGATGAAAGTAACGTTCTATAGGCACATTGAGGTGACCGGAAAGTATTGGCCCACTGGCATTCGATGGTAACTGCGCCGACCGCTGAGCTGTTGCGTAGTGCGTTATCCTGAGTTGAAATGTATGACTGTTACAATGTCGAGGGCGCAACTGCGAGTCTAGCTGCTTCCTGTGCCTGTAAATGCATGAATGAGTGCCTTCTCACGCTGTCAACTCTGTCCTTCACGTCTACTATGTAGGGATTAACTGGCGATGAATAGTGTAACACACCCAAAAAGTGTCACTCATCGTCCGGTCTAAACCTCTTCGTGCACAAATGTCTGTAACCACTTTCACACCGGATATGTAACGGGCGTGCCTGATAGTGTGTGAATGAGCCTGTGGTTGTACGGAGCTAGCGGTCCGCTTCCGACTGGACTGAATCATATCCAGGAAAGGGAGCGACACTGAGCTGCCTTTGCCGCCTGGCTTTGTATCGCAGGTGTCGCCTATTTATGTGATTATTCGCGATTATACAAATGGAAGCGGCATTGGTGATGATACCTCGTGATGCTGTATTATTCTTCTAAGGAACTGTAACGATGTCTGTTCCGTCCGTCATTGCCGCCGTTGACGGGCTGACACAGACTGTCACGATTAGTTTGGCGGTTCCACTGAGTGCCAGCTCGGAAACCGAAAGTTGGGGCAGATGCTACGTTTCGTGAGTTGACAGACGCCTGTGGTTCCGTGCCCCGCTCGAATGCTGCAGTGATGTGCGCTGTGCGCTGTCGATGCCTGTGCTCGACTCGGTTGTTGGAAGAGGGCGCTGTTTTGTTGTGCCCGGGATGGCGCCTGTGGTGTCCCCATAGCACAGAAACCGAGGAACCTGCTACACATGGCCTTTGCATGTCGTTCAGGAGAGCGACGGCCGACGGGAAATGTCGGCCGGAACTCGCGCCGTCGGTGTGGAAACGTGTGCCTTAGCATGTGCCCGAAAATGGAGAACGCACGTCTGTAGATGGTTAAGATGTGATGCCCCTCCAGCGCTGAGAGATTACGGCAGATGGGAATGACACGATGGCTGGTTACAGTTTGGTGGGTCTCTCCCTCGGTCTAGCATGTAGCCCTTCTACTCTTCCAGGGACACCTGTCGCCATAAGTGAGGGAATGTGCGGGTGGAGACGCCGTGACATTGAGTAGGTGGGAGACGTGACTAGGATTGTGCCACCGTCAGCGGTCAGCCAGCCATGTTGTGATAGGATCGCTGTAGTTTTCGGCGTGGGCCATGCTAGATCGACATGTTTATCGCCCGTTTTCGTTTTATTTTTGTTGTCCTTACCATATCTTTAACTTTGTGAGTTCTAAATATATGTCCGTTTTCGCTCTGAATGTCCTTTGTTATTCGCCAGAGGTCTTCTCGTGGGCCTTTGCGGGACAGCTGCAGATCGGCTGAAAAAAATGGATGTATGAAAACACTCAAGATCGTTTGCTGCATGATAGTAGTCATGTTCCATACGAAATTCCAAAGTCCTTCAATGCTGGACAGTGTATGAACAAGCTAAATGGGTCGTAGTTTCAATCATGTCCACGTGTGTACATGGGGATAAGGGTTACTTTCCTAAGGAGTTGTTCCGCCCCGTCCTAGTCACTGCCAAGATGAACTCATCGAGATACTACGGAGTGATTGAGGATCAGATGGGGTTGAGGATAGCCTTGGGTTGAGGTAACATAGGGTCTGTTCCAGTCGCACTTCCTAACACCTCTAAACTCCTCGAAGATTGCTTCGCTGTTCCATTGGTAGCTCTAGCCCCTACAAAGCCAAGGAGGGCTTGTTTGTTTTGTTTTGTTGGGTTAGGCCCTTTCGGTCTGACAAGACCATTGCAGAGCCGGAAGGATGATAGGAATTAGGGGGAGACATTGGTCTGGGCAGGCACCCTAGTGAGCAGAGCTGGGCGCGTTCCTCGATTTTCGGTAGTGCGTTAGCGTTCCTGCGTTCCTCCGGCCGCGGTTAGTGCGTTCCTGGAATAGCGTTCCTCAATTTTTTTTCGTTCGGTGCGTAAGCGTTCCTGCGTTCCTGCGTTCCTCCCCCAAAAATACCGCCGAACCACGCGGCGCGGGCCCAACCAAACACGGGGCGAATCGATCACAGAATACCCAGAATGGCGACGTGGGGCCGAAAAGCAACTCGACACCTCTTTTCCGAATCGAATATCTGAAATACGTTTTACCAATATCATCCGTAGGGTTTTCAACAAAAATACGACCTGCTTAAAAACAATAGTTAAGTTAAAAGATGTATCTTAGTAAAAGTTTATCATATTTACTTTACACATTGAATGCCTGAAACTGAATCGAATAGTAAACATCACCACTAAAATTATTTACACATTTAATGCCTGAAACCGTATCGAATAGTAAACATCACCACTAAATCTAAGCAAGCCTTCCTCGATTCGACCGACAAGTGGCGCCTCTACCGGCAAACACACGTACTCGAGATTCAAACATTTGACACATAGGTCATTGGCAGCAATATAATTTTTTCGGGTGGTTCAGCAAAAACGCAGGAACGCTTCAAAATTTCGGGTGGTGCGTTCCTCTTACTTGCCTTCCTTTGAAAAACTTTGCGTTCCTGCGTTCTTGCGTTCCTAAAAGGGGCGGTGCGTACGTACGGAAGAACGCAGGAACGCACTAAAGGAACGCACTTGCCCAGCTCTGCTAGTGAGTCGCCGGGGCTGAGCCCGTCCAGAGGACAGGCCACCCAGCCCCAAGGCACTCACTGCACCCGGCTACGGGGTGCGCTCCCTCGGGAGCAGCGGTGCCGCTCCAAGGGAGCAGCCCGCATGAGATAAAGTTGCCTGTCCAGCCCGGAGGGAGGTTGTGGCGTGGAGGAGAAGGATTTCAGTATCCTGAGGATAGAAGCACGGATAGGTGGAAGGAGGGCTTGTTTGTTTGTTTTTGTTTTGTTTTGTTGGGTTAGGCCCTTTCGGTCGACAAGACCATTGCAGAGCCGGAAGGATGATAGGAATTAGGGGGAGACATTGGTCTGGGCAGGCACCCTAGTGAGTCGCCGGGGCTGAGCCCGTCCAGAGGACAGGCCACCCAGCCCCAAGGCACTCACTGCACCCGGCTACGGGGTGCGCTCCCTCAGGAGCAGCGGTGCCGCTCCAAGGGAGCAGCCCGCATGAGATAAAGTTGCCTGTCCAGCCCGGAGGGGGGTTGCGGCGTGGAGGAGAAGGATTTCAGTGTCCTGAGGATAGAAGCACGGAACGGTGAAGAAGGAGGGCTTTGTTTGTTTGTTTTTTGTTTTGTTGGGTTAGGCCCTTTCGGTCGACAAGACCATTGCAGAGCCGGAAGGATGATAGGAATTAGGGGGAGACATTGGTCTGGGCAGGCACCCTAGTGAGTCGCCGGGGCTGAGCCCGTCCAGAGGACAGGCCACCCAGCCCCAAGGCACTCACTGCACCCGGCTACGGGGTGCGCTCCCTCGGGAGCAGCGGTGCTGCTCCAAGGGAGCAGCCCGCATGAGATAAAGTTGCCTGTCCAGCCCGGAGGGGGGTTGTGGCGTGGAGGAGAAGGATTTCAGTATCCTAAGGATAGAAGCACGGATAGGTGTGAAGAAGGAGGGCCCTGCTCCAACCTCCTCTATCTTGCTCTTGGAGGAGTTTGAGGTGTTTAGAAGTGCAACTGGAACAGGCCAGAACAGACCACATATAAAGTCCAGGTGGCGCTGCAGCGCGGTGCGATTACAAAAACAGGTGACGCTGGCCACTGAATTTGGCAGTTTCTGCTTCAACTATTATTCTCTCGGATGTCGAAAGCTCTGATCCAAGGCCATCTATAGAAGGTACAGTCACTCCCCCGCCGACCAATCAGAGACAGATCCTGAGTGACGTCACCCCTGATGCTCGCAAGGGGTACTCCATTCCGTTGCAACGTAAAAATGACGAACTTCATTTGAAGATTATTGATGGCACTCTACACATACCGCTCAGTCGTTGATGTCAATGGAAAGCCCAACTAATTCTCCAGCGACAAAAAAAAGCAGCAATATGCTAAGAAATGGCCGGTTTTGAAGATATAGACGATTTAAAAACCCTCTGCAGCAGCAGGAAAGCAACGTAAAAACGCATCGAGCTCATATTTTTACTATGGATAAATCATTTTTCAGTAAGTTTTTAGATATGGTATAGATTTAAGCTACAACTTTATTACAATATTTTCATTACTTGAAACTTTATTTCAAAATAATATTTTAAAAAATGGCAGCTGTTGGCAAGTAGCGTGGGAGCGATTGTGGCGCACCGCGCCATTAATTGTCCCGAGGCCCCCTTATGATGTCATCAAAAGTTGAGTGACATGGGCCTGCTCTGATCTTGGCTCGGAGGGTGCAAGGGAATGTTGTTGATCTGTGCTCACTGCTCCCATCGAAGCGCTGTTCGCAAGCCACGCATGATGTCAGTGAATGGTAAGCACTTTTCTCAATTGCTTCGTATCTTGTTGAAGTGTGTCAGTTGTCGTATTTCGTAGGTATAACTTCTAAGTTCTAGCTTGAAGTTTGAACTTGGTGACATCCGAAATGTCATGCTGCGTCATATGCTCATTGCCTCTGTTATGTTCAAAAGGTCAAATTTTCCCGTTTTTAACATTCTATCACAAAACGGTTTATAGCACTTATTTATATGCATTGTTTTACCGACATCGTATTTCTTGCAGAGACACGTCATCGGTCATATCGGAACGATACTTTAACCCTGAAAGATCAATTTGACATTTGACCTGTAGGTCAAGGTCATTACTAAATCGGAAAAGGTCATGCCGCATATCAGTCGATCTGTGTCATTTTATGAAATACATGCAATGCGTTTTCAATTTTCATCGCTCTGACGATGAGAACAAGGCGTGTCTAAAATTTTCAAAAGATCGGAAATTTCCACATTAGAGCGGAACAGATAGACCATACGGTGTGCCAAAAATATGACGGATTCGCCTCTCCCCACGCACACCACCTTGGCGCGGTTTATTTGGCGCGACTCATTGCCGTTTACGCTGGTCGCATGTGTAATGCTGCTTGGTTGCACCGGATATAAGGACAAACTTATTACTTCGTGCCGTTGAAGTATGGACATTTACAACAAAAGTCATCATTGAACGCATGAAGCACTTGATCTTTCAACTGTTTATTTTGAATACCTCTGACCTGCTCACAAAAACAGCAAATCACTCGCTGTGCGATTATGTCGTGAATCGTGTATTGATAAGACCCAAAACCACGTTCTTACCTTACCATTGCAGTGTATCACTTTTATCCTGAATGTGGCCATCGCTAGCGACCTTGATATTGCGGTGACAGTCATCGGACATTGGTCATACAATATTTGCATTGCAGGTCTTAAAAACTCTGTAGGTCAAAACAAATTTTAAAACGTTTGCCTTTTTCCCTGCCGGCTCAAACTGCCCAACATTCGCATACCTCCGGAAACGGCCGCAATATAATGGTAGAGTGGAGACGCATCAAACGGACGGCCAGCAACTACATACGAGTATACCTACCACACCCATAATGGTGGGGAAGGATATACGAGTCAGAGTTCATAAACCGCGTCCAGAGTATTTATCGCACGATCAAACAATGCCGATAGACAACAAGCTATGGTCCTCCGCCTAATCGGCAATCAAAACATTTATAATAATAATGGAACTTGCGCTCTAATGCTTCTAGCCAGTGTCATCATTGTATTGTAACATATGACACGGTACTGGATTAAACATGAAATAGTAATGGAACACAGCGTGGGTTCGAACGTATAGCGATCAAACAAAATATATGTATCGCCCCTTCCTGAGATCTGCCCAGAATCATCCGTAAAAGCTTAGTGCGAAACGCGAAACAGTTGCGGAACATGCGGAACATGCGGAACATTTAGTATCAAACGTCACACGGCTGTATCGCCAACATATCAAGCCCGTGTCGTCTGAATTCGGGTACCACGGGACTGGTCAGCACTCTAATACGGCATTGGGTCAGCACTCAGGACACGGTGATATAATTAATCAATCACGACAATAGAACAGACGTACAGGCATCCGAGTGCACCGGTAGCCGTGAATGGGTATGAGCAGTGCGCGTGTATGTTGGGAAAATATCGGGATTGAGGAAATGAGGAATGGCCCACATGTATGGAATGGTTCAAGTGCTGCTTCAAGCCATTGGGGGAAGTCACTGGACTTCTTGTCAACGTCCCACCCAGTAAACGATGTTTTGTCTGCTAGGTCAAAGGTGACAGTTTATGTCACCAGCAAGCCGGAACACATGATAAAATCTCATTCACAATTTCACTTTACTAACGACTTCTCGGTCGGCAGAAGGCTTTTGCTGTTTGAAGAAC